GAGAGAGAGAGAGAGAGAGGGGGGGGGGAGGGGGGGGGGAGGGAGAGGGAGAGAACTAAATTTGTTTAATGATCCTTTACAAAGCTCCTTATCTAGACACACTAGTGCTTCACTTGTACGAAGTGCACACGGAGATGTACAGAGGCAGCATAGCATACGAAACATTTTCAAGCCAGTAAAAACTCTAAATACTGATTTCGCAGTTATCACCATACGGTTATTCAATTTTCGCGCGCAATAAACCTTGCTTTATGCATGAACTGTTTATTAGTGTTTTCATATTACAAGACACCAACATATTTAACTGGGTTTATTAATGAAATCTCACAATCTGTCGGCCATCTATTACGATTTGAATATTGCGCTCGTTAAGAAGTGTTCCATTACTACCAAGTCAAGTGCGACATCTTCATTATTGTCCCTAGATGGTTGTCCGAGCATAGATTCATGCTCGACTAAACCCGAAAGGACATTGAATAAGAAAGAATATCTTGAGATAGGCCGGAAGTTTAGCGCCCCTGAAAAAGACCGGCAGGTCACAAATAACTTATAGAACGCATGAAATAAGCAAGTCGATATTACTGAGCAAGTTTCGTTTTCAGAATGTCGATATCTTCATCAATATATAATTCTTCGGTGAATTTTAAACTTTACCGATAATTACATGAATAGCTTTATATGATATTACGAGCAATGGGAATACGATAAGTCTTTTCATAACGAAACCCGATACAGCCTCCGTTATTTAGTACAAAAAAAAAGACAAACTGAGCCATTGAGAAGACCTAATTTTTTATTTTTTACTTGACCACTGGTAGTAATATAAGAAAAAAAAATGTATTTTCATTACAAAGCCGGCAATCCAAAACTTATTAATGAGCTTTTTCTCCGCATTTCTTTTATATTATTTAACCGTCCATATAAAAACTTTACTAAGAAGGGGAGTCGTTGATGAAGGAAGCATGTACATTTATGACATAAATATTTAAACTCACTTCGGCTTAGTAATGAGAGATCAAGTGTTCTCGAATCGGGCGGGCCTATCCTCGGATTCTGACGAAAACAAATCAAATTTAGAGGACACATAACCGATATATATGTCCTCTGATTATTACATATACATACATATATGTTCACGTGTGCATTAGGTCTAACTACTTTCGGTTAATATAGTGCGAAAGAGAGCCTTACTTCGATTGAGATGCTTTACTACTATATAGTGTTTCGGAGAAAGATTTCTTTAAAGTTTTCGAAAATATCTGCACATTGTATCCTACAGCTGTGCAGATACGCCGTACTTTGCTCATAGTTGCTGTGATTTGACTCTCGACATTCATTCGAGACAAGGACACAACTTAAAGGAGGCCAGTTTATAGCCGCATATCCTTTAAGTATCACGTGATTAACCGTCCTGTAGTGTCAGACATCGGCGTTTACTTGTCTAAAGATAATGCAGAATCAAATGCTACGCTATAACATAGATGAAATTTTCTTTTCTACGGTGACAGTATTTATGGAAACATTATCTAGCTATGTTCATTCAAGTTAGACCTTCGAGCCACCCCAACAAAACAACGAAGACGAAAACGCATATCTAGGCTGTACTTCTTCTCTGTCTATATTTTTTTCTAATCAAAACCATTGCATCAATTCGCATCTCTTAATTGTTGTTTTAATATTAGTTCACAACGCAAAACGCTTGCGTTATTATTTGAACACTAGTTAATATAGCACTTCATTAACATAATAACATTAATAAACGTGTTATAAGCGCGGAGACCCTAAAAGAACATAAAATTTAATTGAGCAATTGTTGAATGATATGACAGCTACTATATCGGGCCTACTCTGCAGTGCAACACCTATTAATAAACTTCCACGGCGACGCAAGAAACAATCGAATAGTATGCCATGCGCCAACTCGCTACAAGCCGCTCGATATAAATAGTCTTATTTTAACGAAATGTGGTAACGCCGTCATTTCGTCATCGGAGATTGTTGTGGAAGGTAAGCCTTTCGAAAGAGTCTGATCCATTTTGATGCTAATTAGAAGCTAGGTACGACACGCTAAGTGTCAATATACGGTCGCAAGGTTGAAAAACTCCCGAGATCGCTAAAACAGCTTAAAACGTATCTAACGCTTTTATTCAGCCTCAAATATTTTCTCTTAGCGGGAATACATGCAACCTTTTTTCTCGATATTTGTGACTGGAGTAGAGCTGATAATTCTCGTTGAAATAAACCTAGCAGCACTGCTTTCGGTGGATTACCTAAAGTCACCCTTGCACTTGGAAAATAATTTAATTAAAAATTCTCACCGCCTCATTAATCGGGAAGCAGCTATCTATTGCGTCGAATCGGGCTGGAAACAAACATCTTATTTGGTCCCTTTGATGAAATGCTAAAAGTATAGCTATTTATCACTTCGTAGGTTTAAAGCCCGGCTTCACGGCCAGTGTCCAGGTACACTTGTCACTTCAGGCAATCGCATCCACCCATATGGCAGTGAAATTGTATAATATAAACCCCTCTAAGAATTAACAATTACGATGTGTAAGACTGCAGAATAAAGATGAACAAGTCGGTATTGTCTGCTATTCTGGAACGCTTCCCATCTGCGAAATCTCTAGTCGTCTCTAGGCGTCGACTAAGCGGGAAGCCGCGATGACCAATGGCTAAAAGCTTGACGTAACGTATTTGGACGTGCTACCCCCGTTAATTGGGCCCCACATTATTACGCGACGTTTCAATTGATCGTTCGATAATTTAACTATAGCAACATATTTAAGCACATCGTTTAGCTTACGATCTAATCTGGTTCTATATCTGTTTTTATCAGTCAACGCTACAACGATTAGCTAATAGCACATCTAAATAAAAACGTGTCCGTGTCTAGAAGACGCAAATCGTGTTCTGCAGCTTACATAACATATCTATAACGTTGATCGAGCGGCAAAACGTTCACGTATGGCCCTGACACAATCCAGTTGGCCACGGCCCGGGACTGCAAATTCGAAATACAAGCTGAGGGGCATACTGTACTAGATTAAATCACCGCCTAGTAAGCAAAGTCAAACGACGCCCGTTCTGTATATATATTGTTATACAGACTTAAATACAGGAAGGCTTATTCTGAAAATACCCATTTTTTATAGCGTGGTTGCGAGATTTTTGTTTCATTGTATTAGAATTTCATTCTTAATGCACACGCAGGTTGTCTACGGAATCAAAAGCTTAAAGATCTATAAACCAATGGAGTGGTAAGTTTCGCAATATTTTTCTTGCACTGTATCGGAGCAGTCTGTATCATGGGCTCCGGAATAGTGATGGCTGACTAATAACTGCACACACGTTTTAAGCTCGTTGCTAAAGCCCAAATAATCTCATGATAAACACGCCAAAAAGCAGTAGTTCTTTCCGTCAAAGGTATTTTTTTTACTGTTACTAGTATGCCAGATGGTTGCTTCAACGAGTAAGAACACAAAGTATTTTTGTCCATATGTAAATATTCTATGGCTAGGTTATATAGAAGTTAGATTAATTGCAGCTGTATATGTTTTTGCTTAAATGGACCGCAGGGCTGTGGAATTTGAAATTTTCGCGATTATAAGACTGAAGCAACAAGAATCCAATCCCTCAATCACAAAGCCATCCCAACAGAGCCAAGTATTTACAACAAATCTTCAAAGATTGTAATATATCATTACTTAAATGAGGTTCATATTTTCGAAAAGTTTGTTGGCCACAGAACCATAATCTATAAAAAATACGCAGCACATACAGGCTTATACTTCGCATCGTACGGCTGGGAGAATTGTTTTAAATTACTTTACTATGAAGGAGTGAATCCAAGCTTTTTTCTTTTACTTAAACGCTGATAAATTTTGATTTGTTAGTCTACTGAGTCTTTCGATTAGAGGGCTAATTTACTCCGCTACGAGATAATAGTTCGTTGGGCCAAAAATATATTTAATTATGGTCGAACTCTATTTTAATTCTAAATTTTAGATTTTTATTCGATTAAACCAATTAGCCGTCTGTAAGCGTTTACTAGTGACGGGATCATTTCGATGCCTTCCAACTTTTCGTCGCCTGCATCGATGATTCGATCGGTGTAAATAGATGCATGTTAACATGATGCTATGTCTGCCGCTTATTCCCGCCAAACAGCTACTTTGCTTTGCACGAAGTTTGAAATGCATCCTGCCCTATCCATTTTGACCCTCTTGGTAACTTATTATTATTATTATTATCATAAAGGTTCGTCATGCGCATCTTTCCAACTGTGGTAAACCACATACCAACTATTACCCTGCTGACATGGCTCGCAAAGCTTGCTCAGATTGTTCTCTTCCGAGTTTTCTCCCCGCTGATGTGTCTCTTCACCCGCTCAAGATCTTTTAGCGAAAACGAAATCTCTAGTTTTGATAAATGACCGATGGGTCTACGAGAGGAAAAAAAGTCACCACGAGCCAATTTTACACGCACTCGTCGTCGTTTTATTGCACACAAATTCATAGAGAGTGACATCGTTAGTAGCCTACGTCATCAACTTACTTAATGGTAATAAACAGTAACAACGATCATTACACTGGTAGCACTAATCTATGGTTCGCCTTGCAACAGCGACAGTATAGAAGTGTTACGGTCTAATACACTATGGATCGTTTATATGACCTAGGTTTGGGGGTATCGTTTATCACTGTCACAGACTTTCTGAGTATGCGCTATTAGATTGTACAGTTAGATTTAGCTCTGAGTTAGAAGAACTCTATCCACCGTTTGTTGGATGTTTTCATGGTTTGCAATAGTTGCACTAAGTTAGTAAGGATAGTCCCGATCGGAAAATTTCAGATATTTCAGAACTTTTTTTTTTTTTTTTTACTTCGTTGAAGCTCTCACGCATTTCTATGATGACCGCTAGATCATTTGGCTTATTTACGTAATGATTATTAAGCGAACTACTAAAAAAATTCTTCTAAAAGAACATAGAAAAGAAAGAGTAGCTTTTCTGTGTGTATGACTTACTTTTGGCATTAAATGTGCCCCTAAACTGACAAGTTGCACATACCATGCTTCTTAAGGAAAAAAAAGTGCCCAATTCTATCAGCGGTAGATTCTTCATTGGCATCTGCAATCATTCTTAATATTTTCAGTTAAGAGAGTTAACTCAAATTTTTATCTACTCTTGAGTATGGCATAATTATTTATCAAGCGATTCCTAGTCGACAAGCGCCCTTTTAAAATAGACATGCATTATCTGATAAAAGATTAGCGTACACTAAATAACACAAGCGTTTCTGTTGTCTCCAGTGAAGCATTGAAATGGCGATCGAATGCGCAGGTTGGGCTGTGAACACACTCCGTCATAGCTGTCGTCATGACACATTGGTCCAGTCGAAGATCAATAGGCGAGATCATTTCTTTTTTTAAGGAACAGATAAGGCTTATGCCGATAAATCAGTAGACCTTACTCAATTCTACTAGTAGATGGGCATTGGGATTGTCGACAATTTCATTTCTCATGAGTTTTTAGCTCTTAAAATAAATAAATATGAAAAACTTAATGAATATATACACGCATTGTACTCTGTTTGCTCGCCTTCCCTATTCTAATCAAGTCATGACCTATTGATCTCCGTCTTTAGGCACTTATACCTTGACTCTTTCCTATCTATTGATTTTTCATCTCCTTCTCTCGCTCTCACTTTGCCTTTTCACAGCTCACTCGAGATGACTTTATTTCATGTCATCAATGCATTCGTTCATTACCTTCGCCACCACCTAGCCTTAACCTAGGCTAATACCTATTAATAGACAAAAACTACTGTAATTGTGGCCAATTATCTTTTTATTAAGGTTAGCGTGGGGCTGGATGGCCAAAATTTATTAAATGCTACCGTTAAGAAAACCCGAAAAGAAAAAATTCTATCAGTGTATTTACTGAGGGCTCCTCTATTCAGTGGCCCTAGGGAACGCGAAAGACGGCAGAATTCCATTTCCACTTGCGCATACGGGGACGAGCATTTTAACAAAGACTATACATTATTGTAATGTCATCTGAATTAACTAGCTTCGTTCCTGTAGACGCAATCGCTTTTAAAGGTTCGTTACCATAAAAAAAGAACTCGAACTCGCCTAGATCAAAGGTGCTCGGAGGAGTAAATTTTCAGATTTTCAAAAAAAATCTTCAACTACTTTCTCATTGTACAAACAAAGCGCATTTTTTTAAGTTGCCGCAAGAAAAGCTTATTTTGATGTACTAAGAACGTCACCTATCCAACGCGATTGCTTGGCAAACTAGTACGCAATTGACCTCGTTCTGAGCCTGATATAACCTGGTCATTGGGCAATCGCGCGTATGTTGCTACTGTGGCCTTTTGACGTGCATCGCATACAGGGCACGTATAGCCGTATGTCGAGGTAAGCTCGTCCGGAGCACCAGCAACTGCTGCAGCTTCTCCCACAGCCTTGAGCTGTCATTGCAATGTGGTTGGTCGTCCTGCTCAGTCCCAATTCAAAAGCCGCGGCTTTTTGGTACAGATTCAGGCTGTGCCAAGTCTCTATCGGTCTGTGGTTGTGTATATGCACTGTCTTGAGTTTTTACGAAACAAGGCGAGAGCTGTCATCTCGGTTGCTTCCAAACAAACAAATGATATATAGCATTGAACGTTGATCAACGGCGATCAAGTAATTTTGGAACATAACGTAATTATGAATACATTTGGCGGCAACGTGCTGCGATCTTGACGATGCGTTTGAGTCATATCAACGATAGTATTTCTTTTCCACGCTTCTCCATGAGGATACCGACGTCACGATTTCTTTCAGAAGCAATATTTGCAGTATAACACGTAAGCACGTTGATTTAGTATGACATATGTACTCATATGTAATTATACTACTATGTGATAAAAATATGGTGAGTTGCACTTACAGGTAACTTTGTTTTTACAACTTTTCCATACAATAAGCAGTCGATAGCATTTTTTTTTTCCATATAAGCTCAAAATAGCACGTGCATATGTAAACATATCTCGTCCTAGCTCATATAGCGAGCCCCAAGGTGAGCATGTAACATAGTTTAAATCAACGACATTTTAAAAACGTGATTTGCTTTTAGCTTGGCATTAAACTTATAGCTGTTGGACAGGCGAAGGTACGGCGAAAAAGAAAGGCTGCTATTTTGTTTCTTTAGTTGCTTTTTTCAGCCGAACTGATCAATGTGAGAAGGTGTTTAGCTATCCCTCATCCTATTTAAGCTTTGCCAAAAAAATCTCTTAAAAAATATTTTTCTCTTCTTTTTTATTACTATTATTTCTCTAAATAGTTTTCCGGTGCTTTTTTCATCAGTTGTATAAAAACAGAATGGAAAGATTGGAACTTCAATGGGCAAAACTTTCCGATAGGATATGATTGCAATATCGTAAAGGAGTCCCATACATTCGTATTACTAATGCATCTCACGATTAGTAACGACTTTCAGGTAAAAAAAAAAGTAATCGCATACAATTATTCTACGACAATCTCTAGGGATATCTGTTGAATATAAACAACGACATACAAACATATCGACTTTTAGAGATGCTTCAAGTATCGCATATTTTTTATAGTTTTTTCTACAGTAAAGCTTTATTTTATGAAATCATTATTTTCGGTTGAACGTTTCATACGTGCAGGCGCAGTTATTCGTCGAAACGGGTGACCGACAGATATGCATTTGGCTGAGGTTATGCCTTCACCCCCCTCCCCCCCCCCTGCTGCTAGGATAGCCTCTTTCATATATAAGCTAAGGATACTTTTTATATAATAAACCCCTGCCACAGATTTTATTCAGCAGTTCTGGCATTACGCTGCATCCCTTCCTTGGCATACTTCTAACAAAATGTAAGCAATTAATTGGAGCAAAAGGTCCAACTCAGTTCTATATTGATTATCCCCATTAAGGTTACATTCTTTTCATTTACGCGTACCAATAACTAAGGCCTTTATTTTTCCTCAATCTCCAATAGAGATTATGTAGGTTTTATTCAATTTTTAAAGCATATATTTTATTGCATGAATATTTACTGTACCCATCAATAACATGACTGCGACAACGGTTATCGTAAACGGATGTCTTGAAATTTTATTATCCAGCAAAAACTTCTGGATAGTATTATTGAAATCGTTCCCGGAAGTAATATGATTATCTCCATTTATCAATTAACACTCACGTTAGCTATGTATGATCCGATTGTAAACTCCATTCGAGACTCCCTTAACGTTGCAATAAGTCACTCTTTCATCGACATACGACAGAAGTAATTCAATCAACCGCTCTAGTGCGTAAGACACAATTCCATAGTTTTATATTCGAAAAGCCAAAACTCCATAGGGATTCGTAAATTTACCCACCGGTGGAAGTCTGTAGGTTTTTACTGGTTTCACTAACACGTTGGTAAACACTTGCGTAAATTTCTTATTAGGATGGCACAAAACGCTCATTTGTATGCGTAATCGTAAGTAAGTTCTTAAATTAAATTTGGATCAATTGACTTACCGAAGTAAGCTGGGCCGGGCTTGAAAACTCAACAAAAAAACAAGCCTCATGATCCTTGCTTAAAAACTTGTTAATTTTTGTAGAGTCTTTGTCCGGAATTGTAAATTCCATCGGTTTTTCTTGGTTGCTTACGTTTATTCAGAGCTTGATTTAGGTAATCTCGCTGTAGTAGCTGGCTTCAATGGGAAGACATTGTGCTATGCGTGCTAAATACCTACACAACTCCTTGCTAGATATCGTTAAAACGAATCTTGCTGAATTTTATTGTCTGCCCAGAACAGCTCTTCTTGAAGGCCGTTTATTTTTTTACGTGTTCATAGAAATTGGGCATGTGGTTTGTCATGTTCTTTTACATTCCTGTTCATCGTTCACTTAAAATAGTGTACCTAAAAAAGCCGCTGTAACCTTGTACTTCCTTGAAAATGATCGCAAAAAAATTGGTTCCTTAGTCAAAGATACTTAAGCTTAAACTTTGTAAAGTAGCCTGCGTCTACTTCTCCACGCCGGCTAGTTGTAAAAATAAAAGGCAGGCAATAAAAGTGTCTTAGAAGAAGTAACATTCGGGTGACTTTTGTTAAGTCTTTGCAGCGTACGACTTGCAATCCTTCAGTGGCATGCCATATAAGCCACTAAGGCAAATATCACTATAATTCTCCTATTAGTTTATGGAAAAAATAATGCTACGTCGTCGAACCAATGCGCATCAGTCCCATGAACAATGCTCACACGCCAGTTTTAGACAATCGTTGTACCTCCGCACCACGAACACGACGAAGATAGTATTCTAGGAAACATCCTACTGAATGGCCTTAATCAGGCTTCAATGTTGGTACTCGCTTTACGCTCCTTTGTTATTTCGGCAACTTGTTTCACTTGCTTCGTGACTAGCAACAACGCCATTAACTAACATGTGTGATAAACTACCAATGCATAAAAAAATGCAATACATCATTTAAATAGCATACTAAAATTCTTTATTCTGTGAGCCGTTCGAATAATCTAGAGACCAACACAACGTTAAGAGGAACGACTCAGAAATCTCATCTTTTGTGTTAGTATCCACACCGAGAGGCTTTCGCACGCATATAAAGATAATCTTCGTTTAAGCTCTGCAAAAGGCTAAAGGTTTGTTTGAACTTGATTCGGTTTGGCAAGTTTGTCGATCGCGACATCTTCTGCTAACGTACCAGAAAAGATCGCATGAGGGATGTTTATAGAACACTCAAAATAACAGAACGTTACGTTTCGTCAATAGAATTAGTTGTTTTAAATCTTAGTCCATTTATTAGACGCTGAATTTAATTTTCAATGGCAGTAACAGTCACTTCCTGGTAGTTTTGACAGGACATCATAGAGAATAAAAAGTTTAGGAGTACCGGGTAAATCTATGATACGAAACAATCCCAGATTTTTCTTACCTTTGATTTATTCTATATTATTCGGAATATATTTATCAGGGATAAACATAAAATTTAGATCGCATATTTACAGCAAGTCAAGTGTTATATGCTGAGTCTCAAATATTTATGTTGACTAAAATAGTTGTAATTCTTTTTCTAACTCATTTTCAAAGCTCTTAAGGGCCACTATTTTCCTTAATAAATCTCTTTCGAAATGTTTAACATCTGTATATTTCCAACACCCAAGGAATATAACGGGTTACCTATTCACTGTTTCGTTTTTCCATATAGCGAATAAACAGAGTAATAACTAGCTCCTGGCTAACGGGTGCAGCGCATCATATTGTCCCTTTTTGAACATGTGACCCGCGATCAATCGGTACCTTGCAAAATTATTGTCGGTATCGCCCTTAAGGGCTTCGGCAACATTTTGCTTTATTCGAAGCTGTGCGTCGTAGCAGAAGGCCTGTGCAAGCGCAGTATCCAGAGGGCTACTCTGAGCACGAAGTTGAAGTGTGCGACTCGCCCGGGCCAAGACGGCGGTCACCGCGTAGATATCTATAACGATGTCAGCAATTCTTTCAAGAAGCATTTGCTGTTCAATAACGTTTTTACCGTATTTTTGTAGGGACCATTCGACGAGATACTGCAGTCGCTTCGCGCAGTATTCCAGATTTTGGCCTTCATCAGCGAGTGTATGATGTACCGCATACCTCAAGCCGAGTGTTAATGCCGGACTGTCGATATGGTCACGGAATCTGAAACGCAAATAAGAGTTCGTCTTTAAATTTTTTGTAAAAGCATTATTCGACGTCAGCTGAAGTACCAGGGCTCGCTGATTAAGTTCCTCTATCTATAATATACGGGTGGGCGACAAACTCGCTGTGTATTGTATATTGATACTGCCATTTAATTATCGTATGTTAGGTTGGGTACAATTAGAGACGCATGAGAGATGAAGTTATTTAGCCAGATATTTCTATTGCCATTTCTTTATAATAGTAGGCTTTTTGTAAACTATAAAGTTGAAACTATCCAATTAATGTAAAGGCAAATGTCTATACCTGTCAACCAGCTTGTTAAAAGCGGCCTTTGGATTACCCACGGGATTACCCCAGATCTTCATCATTTGTTTGAGGTGGTCACTAGCATGTTGGATCCCTAACAGAGCAACAAGCATACGCAAGATTTCGTTGGTTCCTTCGAAGATCATCGTGATCCGGGCATCACGGAATCCGCGCTCAAAAGGCAGATGCTTTAAAAATCCAGAGCCGCCATGAATTTGAATAAACTCGGACGCGCATCTGAGAGCCGCTTCTGAAGCGAAGATTTTGACACATGCGGCTTCAAGCGGATAATCTGCGTCTTTCACATTATCGACAATTGCGGTTGTCATGTAAGCCATCGACTCCATGGCATAAATGTCCTGAGCAAGTTGTGCAAATTTTTTCTGAATCAATTCGAACTCAGAAATGTTCCTCTTAAACTGTTTCCGCTGAGTAGCGTACGCAATTGACTGATTCAAGCCAACTCTAGCGGCGCCGGCTAGAGCACCGGCCATTCCAAAACGACCCGTATTTAGAATGTTTACAGCAACCTTGAATCCGTCTTCTTCGTTATGAAGTATGTTCTCAACAGGGACCATAACATTTTCGAAAAATACAGGTACGGTGTTTGAAGCCTTAATACCAAGTTTTGACTCAGCTTTGCCAGTCGTGATGCCTCCGAAGCTCTTTTCGACAATAAACGCTGTCAGTTTAGTTTTGCCCAATTTTTCGGTGAGGGTGTCATTGCGAGCGAATACGGTCATAACATCGGCCCAAGCACCGTTTGTAATGTATAGCTTCTGTCCATTGAGTATATAGTGTTTGCCATCCGGACTTAGACGCGCTGAGGTGGTGATCGAAGCAGCGTCCGATCCGCTATTTGGCTCTGTAAGAGCAAAAGATGCGATATATTCGCCCGAAGCAATTTTTGGTAGATATTTCTTCTTTTGCGCTTCGGTACCGTACATGATAATTCCTTTGATTCCAATGGAGTTGTGTGCCATCAGAGTCGTTGTCAGAGCACCATCCAGGCCTATAGCTTCATTTAATCGAACGTATTCTGTTGCTGTCAATCCCAAACCGCCGTAATCGGGGTCAACCTGCTGGCCGAAAAGTCCTAACTCACGCAATCCATTTATCACCTCATCGGGCACAATTTCGGTATTATCCAACTTAGCGGAGTCGACCTTTTCGGTCATGAATTTGAACACAGTGTCATGCATAGCAGTAATAGAATCCACTTGTTCTTCGTCAAGGATTTCAGGGAAGGTGAGAAACCGCTTATCAAAATTTCCTATGAAGAGTTCTTTAATGAATGGTTTACGCTCGACCGGACCAAGAGCGAGCTTCATTTTGGGATTATTATCTGAAGATATTGAACGAACGGTTGTCGAACTGGCCGGAAGAGAGGCCCGGGCGACCAAGGTCGCAAAAAGTGTGCGGCCTTTGTACGCATGCAACATGATTTTTAACCACTGAAAGAAAAGCAGAAACATGTTACAGATGTAGTCACTTATTAAGTAAGCCATAACTGTCATTAGTAAAACTCAATGAAAGAACGATATAGAACTACATAAAAAAATATATATATATTTCACTTAAGCAATGACCTCCATGCGATGTATTGATTAGTTACTCATAATAAATGAACTATTTTATTAAGCCTACTATCAACTTGTTCCATTCGACGCACTGAATTTCCAGTAGGTATTTCTCTATACGAGACAATAAAACACACTCGTAGAAACTTTAATTTCAATTTGATTATGTTTGGTTACCATAAGAATCTGGACATATCCATCCGCTGCCCTTCACAAAGACTACTTAAACCATTTAATACTTTCCCGCTTATAGTCGTTAAACTCATAGGAGGGGCGCGGAAAATTATTTTCATTGCTACTCAAAGAGAACAGACATCGCCACTGGCACCGCCTTTTTTAGCCAGTCCTTTCTCATTCTTAAGATCGAATGTTACGGTCAAGTCTACGTAAAAAACTAACCATAATAATGCAAGTGTTTAACTTTCTATCCTGATGCAAACTATGTCGCTAAACCGATTATTTTTTATAACTGAAGAATAGTTAAACTGTCTGGCTCTTTAATCGTACTCGAGATATATATGAATACATATCTATCCCCTAACACTTTTGAGAAAGTGTCAACGACAACCAAACGACCAGCTTGGAATAATCGGACTTAAAAATAATAAAGATATTTTTAAGAAAAAAAAAAGATTTTTTTTCTAATTTGCGCCAGTTACCTTGTTCTTTGTTGTATGCTACCATTAACATAATATCTTCCTTATTGAATTCGATGTTTTAGGATTTAGTTTGACATCTTTTATCCTTTGCACGATGTTGTCTACGGGCGGTATCTATAACTTATTCTCTGAGATCTTGAAACAACGTCCCCAATTGCTTCGATACTTTACGGCATTTGCTGCATGATGGTAATACAACTAGTATATAGCACTTATTACTTACTACGATCCTGTGCTCGTTTTGCTTCTCCATAGGAAATAACAAGTACAAACGTCTTTCCTGTATCGACGTCTTTCCTATAAACGACAAATATAATCATATTTGTCGATTCTTACATGAGGCGAAAGGGAACTCGTATTTACGTATACGGAAACGGTATGACCAGTGTCTATTTTTAATTATCATAAAAATTGTCACATACGTCATATGCCTATGCAGTCGCCAGTGTGATAACAGAGAAACACGCCCGTTTTTTATTGCTTACCGTCAAATTTGCATATTGAGAAAAATCAATTTCCTAGTATCCATTTGATGATCATCCGCTAGACGCTGCGTCCGCTGAAAGCTATTCAAATGCTGACGATGAACTTAACTTAAGCCCCTGAGGGAGACGAACTTACGAGATAAAGGCAGCGAAAACAGCACCCTGTATTAAGCTAGTTCGCTACTAATCGAGCTTGTCTGTAATAGTTGGCTGTCAACGCAGATATTCTTGCCGCATCTTCTGAATATAATCGTATCCGTCAATTCTTATCAGAGAAGCGACTTCATTTCGCCAATTAGGCTGACCTGTTGCTGTTTATCTTTCGACTGCGGCAATACGATAATTTGTCTTGGCACTCAGCCATGTGGCGGCAGAGAAATGCTTTTTTATCAGACGCATTCGTTTTTTCAATATTCTATGTATCCGATTGCTATTCTCAGATATTCTATGTTTTACGAAAACATTGTTAATTGCCGTATATGAGGATACTCATACTTTTGATTTTAACTTTAATTATCCCAATTACCTGTGCCGTGTGACCGTGTATGTATGTATGTGTATATATATATATATATATATATATATATATTCGGTTTAATAACATGAAAGGCTAACTCAAGAAACAGGAAAACAAACGACAAAGGAGCTTCAATCGCTGCTGCACTGTAATGATGAGAAGCATTCCAATAAGCCAAATTACTAATTATACCATATATATATATACAACATAACCAAATTAATAATCGTTAATACTAAATAGTAGCAGCAGGTTCAAAGAAATAGACTTCTGCCCCAGACTATCAAGAAAATGTTGTTCAGTTATATGCGATGCCATATAAACTTGATCAGCATTGGTCTGAACTATAAAGTTGTCATTACAGAAGCGGATAACTAAACGAAACACTTATGTACCCGTATTTCGGTAGTCAAAGAATTGGCTATCAGATTCATAAATAATGTTTTCTGTATAGTGCACGGAAATATCAATGGACAGATTTTCCAAGCAATAGATCAAAACGTTACCAGGTGGTTAGGACCCAGTTAAACAAAGAGTATCTTCCTGGAACCGCCAAAAACAGAGTGTCATTCGATAACGTTAGCAAGCGACTTACGGGGCCTGTCTTTATTATCCTAGCAGCGAGCGCGTGATCTAAAAAATAATGGGCTCTAGAAGGCTTTATCTGTAGAACAGCCCTCGATATTCTGTTCTACTTTTGCTTCTAAGGCTACCAAACAAACATTTACTTATTATCGTTGGTATCAGTTTCAGTATTGCTATGGACGTATATATTTCATATTACTAAGGTGTCGCATTGTACTCTTTCCCTCATGAATTTACATAACAATTGGAAATTCACCATTTCATGTAAGTTTCAATAGTAGCCCAGGCCAATGGAGCTCATCCAACATAAGTTAAGGTAGGTTGTTTTGGGCTTTTTTAATCCGCTGTACATCATGGGTCGTTACTTTGAGAAGTTGATATTTTCCTAGTATTAATTTGCCTAGTGCTTGCGTGGCTTAGAAATTACGTGAAACACTGGCCGGGTATGTCTAGTTTCAATTTAAGTTATCTGTATAATTGTGATGCGTAAGTATGACATAACTATATACGGGGACGTCATAAACACTTAGAGAGATCGTTACATTAGAAGAACTGAGTCAAAGAATAGTGACTTATCGATTCTTGCGGTAGTCACTAACAAAGTGGTAATTCACAAGTTCTATCCAAGGACGCAAGTGATGGGACAACTGCAAGGAACCGACTAGTGTTACATTATAGTAATCCTGGCAGTTCATCAAACTGATAGCATAGGCACAACGAACCTCAACTGTGCTTCAACTCAAACAGATGTAATTTCGCTGTAGGTAAAAACTAAAAAAATAGCGGGATAAAATCTATTGCGAATGCTTCATGTAAAAACCTGTTCCTAAAAGTGACGCATCAGTACTTGAGCATGGACGTTCACGGCTGCTAAAAGTGGGTCAACAGCTGCATGTTCGGGCTATGCGTTCTATATTATTATTAATGGCACCACGTTTGGCACCTGCTTTTTACAAAAACTTACCACTCCAAATGATTAGTACTTTAGATAAATCAACTTTAAGCTGTTACAAATTCAACGCTAACGCACTCAATGAGAACTCGAAATTTTACACAAATCATACATAAAAATATGACGAAACATGAGTCTTTTGACTTAAATCAATTTGACGTAATTTAAATCAATAACGTTTTAAATTTCTACCATTAAGTATAACTAATTATCATTGTAGGCCTGCATTCGCTTTTAAAGTTATCTTAAAGATATTTTTTATTCATGTCATTTGTACTTGTTCTGGACTGATACCCGAACTGTGTGTCTATATATAAAACCGTAATGCATCGACTCCATTGATCCGACAGCAGATTTAGTGTAATAAAAACCTTTATTGAGGCACCTTTTAGAGCGTAATTGAGGTAAAAAAAAACTCTTTTGAAAACAATCAACAGCGACAACCATAGTAATACAGTCTCAATAATGATAAATGCTAGTAAACTGCTAATAAAACTTCGTTTCTTTTTTTTTCTAGCTTAACCCCACTGATTTTCGACTGATCAAAAAGTTCTTTTGCTTAATAACAATCCACGTGATTGGCTCTTGTATTGGTGAAGTTAAAACCATTTACGTACACACCTGTCCCATGTACGGGAAATTAATAAATGGTTATATAACCCCAGAAATTTATATTTTTTTGTCCGCTTTTAGACCTACCTCACAGCTTAAGGCACATTCGAGAGATTCCGCTAACCGGCACGTACACAATATAGACACACCTGCACATACATACGCAGTCACCTACTTTCGTTCTACATCCATGATTAGTTAGCAATAACTTAACGAGCTGATTTCAACTACACCTCCCTCCGACACGCACAGCCCAATGGGACCTTCTTAAGAGGCAAAACATCGTGCGCAAAATCGTTCTTTTAGTGGCGCCCGGTACTAGCTACACTGCCATCGTACCGCTGTTCAACTGTTACTATGGGTCCTCCACCGGTACCTCTTTGAGCAGCCGAAAACAACGTGTTTGCAATACTGCCACCAGTAGCCACTCGATGACGCATTGCTGTAGACCTGTTATTGCGGCAGCAGCTGCTGCGGCTGGTCGTGTACAGAACAAATGCTCTTACGGCCCGTGCCTGTGGCGCAAAATAGCCGCCACACTCAGCAGGTGATTGAATTGACCATGCCGACAATAGCCAACACTGACCGGCACTTACCCGCCGGAACGGCGTATTTTTTCCTCAGTGCTGCCACTGCCGTTGCCACTACAGCGGCAGCCGAAGCAGTTACACCAGCACAAAATTGTGATCTTTGCTGGCTATGAACGAGAAATCATCGCACAGAGGTCGAACTTGTCGCATTCGATTTAGAAAGGGATGGATAAGAAAGAGCGAACAAAGTCGGCAAATTGTAAATATTAAACAACCGACTAGTAGAAGTGCACCCGTTTCATAGAAAGTAGTAGCTTAATTTGGTTATAAGGACTGCAGTTGCACTTTGTGTGTAGTTATGGAGCATTCTAAACAATTGCTGGTGGACTTATTGTAAATAGTCTGATCATGACGAATCCGATGTGTGGATAATTCAGATACAAACAACTTTTTAATGCAGTTATACTCATAGGGCAAAAGTACGAAGGACAATGCGTCATCCTTGCAACAGTATTCACCTAAGCAAAGCTTACTTTAACGAGGCAATATATTTTACGAAGAAGCCTTGGAAGCAAGCCATTTGGAAATTTGCATAGGACTTAGAATGTTTCTAATTGTATGAGGTTATTATCAACATGTTTACGTTCTTTTTTTCTTGAATATATCTCGAGTTTGCAAGTTTTTGGACTGCACATCAATTTATGATTTAAAACTAAAGTTGGTGCTTATAAAATGAAGCAAGAATTAGAGCGCCGATACGTTTTTATTAACACTTGATAAAGTGGCAACAATTTGGTCGTTCCATCGAACTGCAGTAAAATGTACTTTTTTTTGTTTAGTTTTTTGTTCGAGAACTCGAATATTATTTCTTGACCTAGTGGACGATTAGACAATCCCTGACCGCATCTATTTGGTACCATCGAATCGTGTAGACTACTCGGCAATCGCTTGCTTCAAAGCAGGATGAATAATTCGCTATTAAAGTGAAATCGAGTGTAAAAATTAGATAACTTTGAAGTGACAATTTTTGCCAACTTAAGAGTTACCCGCAGAACACTTCTATAGTCTAGTGATTGACACATGTTAGACCATGAATAAGATGAATGGATGCGGGTTTCAAAAGTGCTCACTTACGAGCTTCGTACAAAAGCTGTTTTCTTCGCAGTGAAACGAATCGCAGTGAAGGTCACCACAACAAGTTTACCTTACGCTCTAAGAATAACTTATCACCTAGCTAGATATTGATCGTGATCCATTCTTACTATCGCTAAACGCATTGTCCCTCCAATATGAAAAATTGATCAATTGAAGAGACGATTATTTAGAATAATGTAACATTGCCTCTAATTGGAAACATACTCAAACATTTCGACGTTTTACATTAATTTTTTGCACTATTATTGAAATTTTGCATGACTACAATTACGGCGTAACCAAACGCTGAATGAGCCTATGCAATGTAGTCTTCAAAAATGCTGATTTGTTGTTCTCGATTTTACTCACATTTGTAGTGCAATATATGTCGATGGCGGAGCAAAAATCAATAATCTCTGATTCCTTCAGCATACCTCGGTTGTTCACGCTCGTAAACTCTACGTAGTATAGGATGCCTATAATCATTATAACTGGTTTTCAAATAGTGTTTTATTATTACGTGCATCGTGACGGTGTGTTTTTAGGAAAAGGCTATTTAAAAAATGGAACATTGATTACCCGTGTATGTCGTGTAATGCTCTCAAAAATAATTCTACATTAATTTGAAATAGATACCTTTGTTTTGGAAGAACTTTAATGTACTTTATCTCCATAGGATGTGAACTTTTAATGTAGATGAATATCGACATAAATAGCCTAAAAATGACAGATGAGAGGGGTAATGCTTGCTTGCTTGCTTGAGACTTTGCTGAGGGAAACATCATTCTGAAGTGTTCTTTAATTTATTTATAACCTTGCTTGAGTACTTGCCTACGGGCATACTTAACTTATTTGCATGATCGTCAGGTAGGCTGTTCTCAATCGAAGTTTTTGTCGTACAACTTTATAATAAATATTTAATGAACCTGATCAAATATCGATCATTGACGATTACGGATTTTATTCGCCTAAAGATTTTTACGGAATACTTGAATCTCTTCAATTTTTTATTAACAGACGAGTACAGAAGAAGTACTGATAAATCTAGAGGGTTAAATACGAGAGCTCTAGATTTTATTCCGACGTGACCCTTATGGTCAGTGTGCCGCAGCATTTGGGTAACAACTGGTACCAGTGCCAACAGTCTGGTGTAGTATCCTTAAATTATACATGATCACAGACATGTTCGAACGTGCGGCATATTAGTTAAACACATGCCACGCTGTTTAATGTCATAAGTACATCCGCTGTTAGATTATTGCATCATATTCATAGCTTATTTGTATATGCGTACTGCACTGTACTGTATTCAAGATACTATTAATCGCTCTATTGCAAGAAACATAACACATTAAATAGTTTGTGATGAAATCAGGTTCTCCCTCATGCTTGTACACACCTATCTTATTTCTTTTATTAGAAGCAGCCAACCAATATGTAGATTTTTCTAAACATGAATTACATCACTTTAATTCGCACAAATTTGGAGAGGTACCCCACATCCTTGGCTCGATCCAGTGTGCTTCCAGGCATGCCATCGGCACACCGGAAACGGTCAACGTTCACAGCTATCCTGCTAATGCTTATAAATCATAGCCCGAGGGCACAGATCCTAATCTCCATCTGATCTTATTACACTTGATTGCCGCGTCTGATTACTTTTCCATTCCTCATAGACTCTATTCCATGTGAATTGTTTCTTTCCCCGACTACTTTGGCACTCCGGATAGCGCTGTCTGAGTCAACGTCCAGCGATTCCATCCACCATACTATTTTCCAAGATCTCGACATGTGAGCTTATCGATTAGAGGTGAATTTTAGAGTTCATCAGCTTGGCGCACTTCGAAATTAATTTAACCAAGCAGGCATTAACGCTCGAAGAAACGGCTGCAGTTAAGGCTTGCACTGTGACAGGCACTGAGGATTACAGCGTCATTGATTCTCTGGTCCTCATAAAGTGCACAATGGCCACGTAAGAAAAACAGGTTCTGCTGTTTTTGTGCTGCGGCAATGCTTTATGGAAATGACGATTTCTCCATTTTGTTTACTAGTTACCTCTTTTCATCTTGTGGAAGCCGTCAATGAAAATGTCTCTCATGATGCTTGTGACCAATGATTTCATGTAAATGACCATAACCGCTTTTTCCCACTAAAAATCACGATTCTTCTTCATTGGGATATCTTGAATGCTCATTGAAATGGATAGTTGCATATAACCCAGTATAGCGATTATAGCGGAACCCTTTGATGCGCTCGATCCCATGTTTCAAGACATCAAGCAGACTTTTAGCTTGCGTGATAGACGAATTCTCCGCTGTGCGCTGGAAGTTCTTGATATACAGCAAATAAAGGCTGGAAGTGTAGGATCAGTCAGGGTCATCCGGTCATGGGCATTTGAATACGGTGCCAAGCCTTGTTAAAACTACGAGCCATACAATTACAACACATCATGTCATAAAGCTGCGCAACAAGTTTTTTTTTTCATTCGGAATTTCGCTTCCACTCAATATGTATCACGCCTGGCCCCAACAATAGCGGAAAGTTTTAGAAACTTACTTTTGCATCCACATATCTAGTCTTAGGTAATCAAATGTTGTAAATCCATTCTCGGTTACACCTGCTCTCATTGTCGACGTCTTCTCACAACCAGTAGACAAAACCTATTTTCCTTTCTACGCATCTCAATATAGGCGGATCTAGGATACGTCGTATGTGATTTACTGCATGTATCAAAATATGCAGTAACGTCTTTTTTTTTTCGAACGGTTTGCTGCCATAGTAGTTTATGTTACCAAAATCGATCCGGAAAAGTGAAGTGAAATAAAAACTGCATGTAAGGGTAAGTAAAGGTTTATAAGCTGAAATTTGATTAATGCAATTTTTGAAAATAACCGGTGTTACGGATGGAAAACAAAACTATTGTACTCGTATATTCGTCAAAGGCTCTATTATGTATCACAAATGTGCTCTCCATGTTCATTTTCATGAAAATGTCAATCAAAGATATCTTCATCGTAACCCCATCTTGTGTGATATGGTGGAGATGGAGCTTAATGGTCAACTAGTGATCTTGCGCAAAGAGGTGAGTTAACAAAACAACTGGGAAAATTATATACAAATGCTAGAAAAGTCTGTGTTTCAGGATAGCAAAACCAGTGCCTTCTATTTAGCGCCAGGTCAGGCAGGTCAAATATTATGATATGTGTATTACAGGGCCACGAGAAGTTTTTCCGCTTACCGTAATGCCAGGTCTCGAATAACCCGTGCACCTACTGACGACGGGTAAACGGACTTAATCGGACTTAAGCCTCTATAACTATCATGGTTTTGCGTGACTGTGGTATAAATAATTATTCATGGTAAATTCTAATCCGTGACTATGATGATCCGCAATGCAGTGCAAATATCGAAACCATTGTTGTGTCAGAACGAGGCCTTATTCCAGTAAAATCGTTAAGATCTCCTTCAAGAACAACCACGTAGAACACGTCGTTGCCAGCTGTGACATGTGATTCAACGAATCACGTTTGGCATATATACATATAAACACATATCTACTTAAGTAGCTTCCAGGTTGTACCCGGGGGCCACTTCAGGATATTTCCCCTAAATGAACATAGACGGCATGCTATAAAAAATATTGTTAAGTTTAATAGCATTAGACTTGAAAGCCAACGTTCCCCTGCTTGAGAAAAGAGAGTGAGCTAGATAGCGTCTGTTCCATATGGCATCACCTTCTTTTATGTAGAAAAAATATAAGTGTGTATGTCCATTGTATCCCATCTATAGAGACTCTAACGATATATGCGATTTTTAAGCTTAGGTTTGACTTCCGGAGGAAGCTTTACGATGAAAAAGACATGTCTAAAGAACATGAGGTTTACGGTAAATGCTACCAAAAACAACGGATTTAAACCATTGATATCTAGCACGCAAAGTTGTGATTGAATAAACCAAGTTGTAATTATAACTATGAAAATTGTAGATTGACGCACTTTGCCGCTATATCGTACTAGTATCTAACTATATTCTATAGACATTTCTCTAGAGTAGATAAATCGCGTACAAATCATCTTCAATTTTTGGCACTGCGCGTAAACAAATGATACGTAGGGAGCACTTCAGCGTTGCTTTATTTCACGCGTATCCCACTGATGTTTGCCAATAACGTGCTCTGCAATATGGGTTGATGGGCTCTTAGTTAAGCAATCAGGCCCAAAAAAACCCTTACTTCACAGTAATATATGACATTTTTCCATTGTCACATTATACATATATATGTATATATATGTACTGTGGCAATAGACAAACGTCATATTCAACTGCGCAAAGCAAGCATTGAAAAAAAAATATTAAATGAGAAAAGAGATATTCTTCCATCTTTATTAACACACATGTACGAATGATAGGATCAGAACAAGGGCCTCTAGAGTTGGCGTCCAAAATTTTAGGCTGGACTGTCCAGCTCGTCAGCGCACATTTCCTGATGTGTGATTTACCCCTTGCCATGTATAATTGTAAAAAGTTAAGATTCGATAGAAACTAGTCGATTGAATACGTAAGGAATATGCGGAATATTAGAACGGACAGCACTATATTAGGGTATAGAATGCTGCAACTGTTGACGTCACATTTAATATAGATGTTGCAGGTAGTTTTGTTTCTTATGTAATAAATGATACTGCGCAAGCTTGTATACCCACAAAGGAGCAGGAAGTTTACCAAAATCAACTCACACTTAAATCTATAAAAAAGCTTTCATGAAATCTATACAATGGAAAAAGTCAATAGCGATATTTTTAGAAATCAATTTAACGCGGGTGCTTTAAAGGCCCTCACTGTAAGTCTAGGCGGCTGGCCCGCAGCATGAAAGCAAACATGTCCAAGCCTGGTCTTGAAGTTTAACTAGCTCACATATTTAAAAGGTTTAATAGCAGCCCGACACTTTACCGTTGCACTGTTACGAAGCTCGAAATGGACCCCGTAAAAAGAACTGGTCTTGGAAAGAAGAAAATTTGTTTTACAATATCTAGAATTTTGCTCGGTTATATAATATCATCTAGGAAAAAGGTGACTACTGTAGAAGAGCAACAAATGAAAGCAGTTCTTACTGTTATCTTCAAGCGTCTCAAAGGACAAAATTCGTAATAGGTATCCTTGTGTGTAGGATAATTAGAGTGCACTACACCATAATATCTAAAGCTGAATCAAATTAAATTTGAATGTATATTACGGCATTTTCAATTAGCTTGGTAGCCAGTCGGTAACGCATTCCAGAGCTTGACAGAAGCGCGGATTTTATGATCGTTAGAGTGTAAATATTCTCCAAACATCTGAGATCGTTCTATGTCATCTGAAATCTGCTGATATGGAATCATCTTGTCTGAAACGATATAGCCACGTAGGGGAGATGTGCTTTCTAGTACGTAGTTGAACACTTTAGGCGATTTATTTAGGTTTTATATTTTCCATTAACGCGAATCGGATCGAATATTTTGTTTGACTTGCTATCGGCCACATTTTATAAATGGCTTTTTATCAATATTCGTTCACTAGGCCTTTAGATCGACTTCTGTTATAAATCAGCAAAACTAACTTTTCATCAAGAATAAGTGTTGTTTATTGTCGATATTTAGCAGACAAATATTTTCTACTTGATTAAAACAACCATTAGTTTCCTGTTAATGCTAGTTTACGCGTAATATTTTGCATTTACAACCGCTTATCCTAGAGACGCCCCATTCACGCCGCTGGTCGTCTTTAAAACTTTAGTTTCTAACTTCTTCCACAAAGGTCAAAAGCAACCTGCTGAAAATACATACGACTCAGCGCATGAAAACGACCCTAGTCCGTGTTAGCAGAGGCTTATCAGTCTCTCTAGACTATGGAAGTGTGTCATATGACGACTATATAATTTTAAATAGCCTGGAACTCACTGTTTAAGCAAAAGGAGATCGAGAGTAACATCAAATTATCCGAAACGTCGGTTCAACTGGTGTGTGTTTAGATGGCTGAATTATAAACAGAGCCCTACTTTTTGAAACATGCATTTTCTTTGGCAAAGTCTATTTTTGTCGTATATACTATTCCATTTTTTGAGCTGATGTAGGCCAAATCGGCAAATTTTTCTACAGGTTTACAGAGAAAACGTCTCATCCTGCCTTAAAAGCGCCTCTTTCATTTTCTGAATATATTAATAATAATTATGTAGCTAACAAACTGATAAAGTGAGTAAAGCGAACCTTTTGGAAGGCCTCAATTCGTGTTCTTGAAGAACTATTTTAGTCATGATTTGGCAGCTACATGTCAAACAGAGATGTTTAATCCACAAATAAAAGGCTCTTGGTAAACGTTTTTATCTGAGGACAAATTTCCAAACTAGAAGCAATCAACATGATAAAAACCGTGTGCAATTTCCGAATAGCTGCGAAAACCCACGTCTAGCGAGCCACTCTATATGTAATCTTCGAAGAGCTATTTGTATTTGAAAAAGAAACAAAAATCGGAATTACGTTTTTTTTAAGTGAAACATTTCGAACTTTAAAGGTGATAGTTATTAAAATGAGCATCATGTTAAAACACCAGACTGTGGGCTCCAAGGAATACTTTGCTGTAAAGGACCAAAGCAAAGTGCTGCCGTTCTTTCTAACACAGAATTAAGTACAGAACTCGAATCTATAAACAACGACTATAAAAAAAAGTACGCCAGGTCACAGAACTATCTCATAGAGTCCCTCTTGTCTGAACAATCAAGGTTAAGGATACCGGACCAACAAATATTTTGAATCCTTATGAACAGATTATGAATAAGTCCTTAAGTGTCGCGTGTTTCTGTAACCTAATCTTCTCCGCTGCAATAACTGACTCGACGTAAAGTTAGGCAACAACACCAATCGCACTACCACTCCAGTCGAAGTTCTTTCGCAGGAAAACCAACGCTCAGGGTCTTCCCATCTGGGAATCAGCAAAGATTTTGCAATTAGAGTAATAGTAAAGGGAGGGCTATGCACTTTCTAAGTTGCCCCTAGTTGTCTCCTGCGAGATGGAACGTGTACGAAGTTCTTTATTTAAGGACAATTCTAATTATGTTAGAACGATTTGCAAGTTCATCGCGATCTTTAATGAGAAAGCATTACTGTGTTTAGATTATTCTCAATGTTACGGTCAACCGTTACGCTCAAATTAAGCGCTCAAAAAAATTAAGTTATGTTCGCCAATTTTGGCTATATTTGTACATGTGTGGTTTAAGAACGATTCTGAGACAAAGTTGGCTCGATTGTATAATAAGCTAAGGGCAGCTCTCATAAAGCCTAATTTTAGTAAGATCATTCGTAAATGTATTTTGCTAACGATATCTCTAAATATAATAGACCATATTATGTGAACTTATCTTGGTTTTGTTTGTTTAAATATTTTTTACGAGATAGATGCAGCCACCTATGTTTGATGATCTTACTACACCTGCACTGAGCGATCTTCCAGGATGTTATTTAGCTTACTTAAGATGTCATTAATAAAGGTTTCTGTACTCTATCTGCGAAAAATTTTACATAAGTTATGTTCATATCTACGTTATGAACATCTCGCATACTCGCTGACCTATTGATTTTTATCTACCAAAAATATAATTTGAAGTAATGAAGAACACAAAGCAAATGGCTATTAACATATAAGGTCCTGTAGCAAACTGATTTAGTACAACTTTTAATAAATTATACTATTAAGCATGTAAATAAATAAAAGAGAAATAAAAGTAAAAGGTAAGAAAAATGTTACGAAAGCCTTGCAACGCTCAGACGAAGCTTGACGCAATGATCCCGAAGTAACTAAACTCGTTTTAGAAAAAAATTATCTCGTTTTTACTATACTATTGCATCCCATTTTTAAAGCCATTCCTGCTTACTTTGTTAATTAGTTAATACATATTATTGCATTAACTACAGTAATATACCTATATCTACATAAAATTATCTATGATATAACACGTTTTCTCTTCATACGTACAGTTGTTTCCACCTTTAACAGGTTTTTTGACATTCGAGATTATCCCCTCGTCTACCCCTCACATTTTCCTCAAACCTTCAAAATAAGTTCTATGCTCTACTCTGTACTGTAGGAGACCGATTAATAAGACAAAAGGTTTATTTATCTTCATTTGTATATATATATATATATACCTTCGGTTGGTGCCGTTTTCTGGACCTGCTTGTTTATTCTTCTTATTCCTCAGTTTTCTGTTGTTTTTTTTCGTCTAATCGGACGGCAGCGACCCGGATAAATTATCGGTCGCAACATGCACGCCCTCTCACCTATCGTTTTGTAATGTACGTGTGATATCCACCTAATATGTTGTTCTTAATAGAATCATTACGGTTTCATTATTACGCTGTTTTGTTGCTGTTATTCGTTGTAGCGGCGCTGTTTTAGCGTGTGCTTAGACCAAGGTTAACCATCCTCGGTTCTGCTGCTGCTGCTGCTGCTGCTGTTGTTGTGGCCATTTCATCCACCCATCCGTTGATAGTGAGGTATAACGCGTACAGAACTAGCAAACAGACGATTCGCTTCGTTTTCTCACACGCGTCGCACTTCAAATAACCATTATCATATACCACCGTTATGTGAACACTGTTATCTACCATCAGACAGTGAAGCGCGCCATAGACCTCTGTTATATCGATACTATTTTTGTTGCTGCTGCTGCTGATGTTCTTATCAGTATAATCTGTTTTCTGTGCGTGTCTATCTAACCATCACTGGTAGATAATTAGCGTTTATGGTTGGCAATCAAATCGTTGAAATCGAGTCGAAATGTCCCTTACGCGGGACAAGCTCACTAAACCACTGACGCGCCGCGTACACTCCATTGTGATGGCACACCGCGATCTATGCAGGAAATCGGCTCGCGCGACCAAGACGACTAGTTGTGCGCGACGCGATCTCGTCAACGAAACGGGCTACGGACCTTTACAACGATTGTGGGCCAATACAATACGCTGCTACTGCTGCTGCTGATATTTCCGAGCCAAAATCTCGAGAGGGTAAGCTATGCAACCAAACAGATGTCCCAGGTTGCTCTGTGTCATTGTTCAATCTTCTGTCGCATAAATGAACACCAATCTGCTTGTCTCATCGTTGTCGCTGTTGTCGTAGCCGGAATCCCCAAACATACGACAGCACGTAGCGCAGCATCACGTCCATGCATATTATATGAAAGCGTTGTCCAAAATAAATAGATTGATGCATCTTTTTGGAGCTACACGCCGATGACTGTGGACGTCATTGACTTAATCTTAGTGTCTCTTCGTACAGGCCTTTGGGTGGCGAGATTAGAAATCACACGGAAGCCCGCTTCGACATATACAAATTAGGAATCGTTGTTCTCCAATAGATCCGTCGTTATTTTTGCACTTTCATCAACTACCGCTCACGGTACTCTTGTGTTAATAATCGGATTAATAATGATAATAATAGATGTAAATCTCGTTCCGTTAGTCTCTTGCGCTCCATCTTGTTCTTTCGCACTCGCTCGTTCTCGTGAAATATGCGTTTCATTATATCTTTTCTTAGTTTTCTCCTCAGTCTTTTTGACTTAAATAAGGTTATAAATTGAAGGTTATAAATTGTGTTTAGCTCTGTTCACTTATCAGCGTTGATGTGGTACTACCGTATGTTGACGTGAATATTATATTACCAATTTACGAGCGCTGTCGCCTGTCGATTCATCTGTGTAGTAGTGTTCTCCTTTAGTTCATAGTGCCTGTGACATTTTTTTGTTGTTCAATACGGTGATATAGGTGTTTGCTATTAATGATAATGGCAAATTATTCAGATGGTGTTGTTGTCAGCCACTGTTGTTGTTCCATAGCATATAGCTAACCCCTTATACTCGGTTACAATATGCGTTTGCTGTTTTTCATCTATTGTTGTTATTTATTGTGATAAACGGCAATACGGCTGTTGTTTTTTTTATGGTATCGTCGCAATTACCGCTATTTGTATTTATTTATTATTCTCATTCTAGATATGATTCTTACACTCTCACTTAAAAAGGGGGTTTTACGCAGTAAAATATCGGATTGCGAAAGCTGGCAATTGCGCCAAAACGATTTCAATCACTCTTTTTATTAAAATTAGTTATAGTAATAAT